ACAGTCAGAGTTCCTGAATGCAAAACTCCCTACCAATTCCCAACCCACCATCCATATTACCTATAACAATCTCTACTAACCTACATCCCACTTCCCCCCCTCATCCCATCACATCCTTAATCAAACTTACCCTTCCCACAACAAATCCAAAAAACACCACAACCCCACCCAAACAAACACAAACCCACACACCCACCCCCCCCCACCCAACACCCCCCCCCCACCCACCCACCCAACCCCCCCCCCCCCCCCCCCCCCCCCCCCCCCCCCCCCCCCCCCCCCCCCCCCCCCCCCCCCCCCCCCCCCCCCCCCCCCCCCCCCCCCCCCCCCCCCCCCCCCCCCCCCCCCCCCCCCCCCCCCCCCCCCCCCCCCCCCCCCCCCCCCCCCCCCCCCCCCCCCCCCCCCCCCCCCCCCCCCCACCCCCCCCCCCCCCCCCCCCCCCCCCCCCCCCCCCCCCCCCCCCCCCCCCCCCCCCCCCCCCCCCCCCCCCCCCCCCCCCCCCCCCCCCCCCCCCCCCCCCCCCCCCCCCCCCCCCCCCCCCCCCCCCCCCCCCCCCCCCCCCCCCCCCCCCCCCCCCCCCCCCCCCCCCCCCCCCCCCCCCCCCCCCCCCCCCCCCCCCCCCCCCCCCCCCCCCCCCCCCCCCCCCCCCCCCCCCCCCCCCCCCCCCCCCCCCCCCCCCCCCCCCCCCCCCCCCCCCCCCCCCCCCCCCCCCCCCCCCCCCCCCCCCCCCCCCCCCCCCCCCCCCCCCCCCCCCCCCCCCCCCCCCCCCCCCCCCCCCCCCCCCCCCCCCCCCCCCCCCCCCCCCCCCCCCCCCCCCCCCCCCCCCCCCCCCCCCCCCCCCCCCCCCCCCCCCCCCCCCCCCCCCCCCCCCCCCCCCCCCCCCCCCCCCCCCCCCCCCCCCCCCCCCCCCCCCCCCACCCCCCCCCCCCCCACCCCCCCCCCCCCCCCCCCCCCCCCCCCCCCCCCCCCCCCCCCCCCCCCCCCCCCCCCCCCCCCCCCCCCCCCCCCCCCCCCCCCCCCCCCCCCCCCCCCCCCCCCCCCCCCCCCCCCCCCCCCCCCCCCCCCACCCCCCCCCCCCCCCCCCCACCCCACCCCACCCCCCCCCCCCACTCGCCACCACACCCCCCCCCCCCCCACCACACACCACCCCCCCCCACCCCCCCCCCCCCCCCCCCCCCCCACCCCCCCCACCCCCCCCCCCCCCCCCCCCCCCCCCCCCCCCCCCCCCCCCCCACACAAACACCACCCCAACCAAAAACAAATAAACCAACCACAACATAAACCACACATAAACACCAACATAAACCCACCCTCCCCCCACAAACCACACAAACAAACACAAACCCACACCCCCAACAACACACCACAACACAAACCTCTACACCCCCACACCTCAACCCACCCAACCCCACAACAAACCTAAAAAAACAAAAAAAACACCCTCAACTAAAAAACTCCACACTCAACAACTACACCCTACAAACAAACTCCATAAACAACAAATTACTCTTAAATCAATTACCCTAACCAACAACAAAAAACAAACACCAACCACTCCAAAAACCAACCACATACAATACACAAAAAAAAACACACCACCCCAAACCTCACAATATATACTCAACCTCTCAAAACCCTAACAAAACCCACCACCAAACATACAAACAATACACAACCACACCACAACCAACACACTAAATGTGAAAACTAACACACCCCTACACAATTATCTCAATACACTCAAGACATATACACCAACACCCACACTTATACCAACACTACCTACTATTCACAATTCTAAACATACATAACCACTATCCTCCAATCCTAACCATAATACCTCTTCATCATCTCTCACTCTTCACCCACAATTCTCTTATTCCTCATCTACCTACTTATTACCCTAATTATTATCCCCACATCTCTCTCTACTACTCACAACTGAAATAATTCCCCCATTAAAAACTTTACTCCATCAAAATAAAACACTCTCACTCAAAGATTCCCCCCCCCCCACCCACCACCCATATAACCTAATAAATACCACATCTCCCTTCCTTATTTAAAACCCACACAATATTCCCCACTCACCCAACTACTTCCTCTCAGTCTCGCAAGAGTTGTAATGTCTTAAACCCTACCTTTCACCCACCAACCCCCCAATTCTCTATACCCCCCTCCCATCAACCACACACACACACTCAATACCCACTCCCAACCCCCTGTGGTACACACGATCTCTTCACTCATCCCATCTCACACCCCCACTCTCACCTCCTTACCATCCATCTATACCCCACTTAATCTCTTCTCAATCTCTCCAATATATCAATTTATCTTAACCACCACCCCCAGATACAACAATACCCCCCCCCCACCTCCGCGCCTCTAACCTTACCATACCCTTCTATAATCACTCTTATACCCCTTAAATACTATTGTGTGTGTGTGTCTCAATATATCCCCCATAAATATTTTATCTACCCAATAAACACTCAACTATCTTATTGAATTTTACGCTATCCACTTACCACCAACACTACCCTTTTAAACATCTCTTAATCACTATCAATCTCTTTCAAACATCCCTTAACTATTCCATCAACCATCCCCCCACACCCACAACTTAACTCACAATCCTCTAGATACCCTATAATACACTCCCCAATCCCATATTCACTACTACCAATCAAACTCAACTACCCCAACATTACATTCTAACACCCACCTCAAATAAATCTCACACTACAGATTAAAACAAAACAAAACAAATCCCCATTCCCAACCTTCTATCTCCCCCCCCCCCCTCCACCCCACCACCCCCCCCCAACACACCCCCCCCCCCCCCACCCCACCCCCCACCCCCCCCCCCCCCCCCCCCCCCCCCCCCCACCCCCCACCCCAACCCCAACCCCCCCCCCCCCCCCCCCCCCCACCCCAACCCTCCCCCCCCCCCCCCCCCCCCCCCCCCCCCCCCCCCCCCCCCCCCCCCCCCCTCTTCAATATATATATAATCCCCCAACCAACCACCGATTTCAGCTCACCATATGTTATATTCTCCCACTCCCTCATTACCAATTCTAAAAACCCCCCCACCCCACCCCCACCGCCCATGCTCAGCAATTCCTCACCCCATAATCCTCCTTTGTAAGCCTATGCAATCTTCAGATAGTTATCAAATACCTTTTACGTGTGCCTCCCTCATCCCATCACCCCCAACACCAGTGCCCCCCGACCCCCTCCCACCGCGTCCGGATAACGCTTCGCATCTGCCCCTCGGCCACACATCTATACTACTCTCTGTAAAGGGTAGACAAGTAAATCTCGTCTCTCGCAATGTGTGAAAGGTGTCCCATCATTCAATTAGTGCTGGCTACCTCATCTCTCTCTTTTTCCTCCCTTGATTTGTATGTATGTAATCCAGCCCCCCCTCCTCCCCTTTTCAAACGCATGAGAGATACACACAGACTGTGAGTGGGTCTTTCAGCAAACTTCTTTTCTTTCTACCTAAATATTATTTGGCTTCAATCCAAGGCGCTGTGATCATTTGTTATGCCAAATGCACTGAAAAAGTATTTGTACCTAAATGTATACCGCCATCTTGTAAAGGACAACATTCTTGAACTGAAAATACTCCAATGGACCATCGACTGTTGTGCTCACCTCGTAAACACTCAGTATGTAATGAAGTTCAACTGTTTTTGGTACTACAGAATTACAGTGTTAAAATGCTTCTCTGTTTTGTTGCACGAGGAAAAATGGAATGATTGGTTGCATCAATCGGAGTCTGACACCCGTTAAGTTCTGAGCTACTTGGATACTAACAATAAATCTAAACTCGTTCATCAAACACTATTTAAAAAATGATTATTATCCTATGTGTTTGTTTCCTCCACTCCTTTATTTCATTGGCAAAGTTAAAGAAGACCACTACTTTCGCAAACATCTGCTGATTGTGGAACGCATACAGAAAGTGGCGAATCGTAAGCTATGCTACTATCCTCACTTCAAATGCCATGCACACTGATCACTCGCAATATCTACCGATGAGTTTTATAGGGGGGAATTATGCGTTCCTCCGTCCTTGCAGCAATCACGAGGCTAGAAGAGCAAGGCTGTAAGGCGTGACGATGAGATGGTTAACTATGCACAGACTATGGGAAAAAGTGAACAATGTGTATTTCCGGAAATCCGGCTTACCGACCGAAACGTCGAGTGCATGTACCTTAACTGATCACTCGATTCGTGCTAGATGTTAACCTAACACGTCCTGTCTGCTCTTTTTTGGTTAACTACACCTGGCATTCAGGTTTACCCGTGAATTGGGGTTTCCTTTCATCTGATCAAGTACAGGTTGCTTTGAAGTAAGGTTGGTGTAATCATATCGTGTGTACTCTCCGCACCCCTTTGGTAAATGTAGCTAGCGCGTTGACTTTAAACGGCACCACATCAGAGCATTTAGCTCATAGATATGAATGTTGAGAGCTCGCTTACCGAACTGGTGAACACATTGATAGTCTAATGATCTCAACCGTTGAAAAGAGCGTCTGCCCCTGTTGAGCGTTTTACTTGCAGCACCAACAACTGATCTACGTGTGATGCACGTGATTTTATTGAAGGCTTGGCAGTTGGCTTTGGCAGAACCATTAAGAATCAGCTGTTCACCTTTGAGATGATCAAAGTGTTCTAGTTGTGTGATGACTAAAGCACCCTCCCTTTAATCTCATCGTCCATAGGCGTCAACAGTACATCCGTACGCAATACCGAGGCTTCACTGCCGCGCAATCACCACCGGCCGCACGTTGGCTAAGGGTACTGCGAGGGTCACACGGTCCCTAAGCAGCCTCGAAGCTGCGCCGTCTGAAGACGGGACAAGCACGTTACCTTTGGGCTACGGGCCATCCACGTTAAACTAAGAAATGAAACAATTATTGCGTTGCGTAAAAACCAGGGAATACTCTAAGCTCACAGGAATAGAGATGCGGGACTTATGACTGCTTGTATACAATTGAGGCAGCGTAGGAATATTTGTCACTAATTTTAATCTTCATTTCACACGGGGCTAAATGAGTGTGCTAGAGTAGCTTCCAACGCTTTTAGCGTTATAGCTCCTTTCAAAGTTTTCCTATTTTGTTACACCATGCAAATAGCTTGACCTGACAGTTATTCAAATGGATATTTTTAGAGAAACAGCTGAGTAAATGGATTGCCACACGTAATCTCTATTAGAACTGTAAGTTACGTTGAGTCAAAAATCGACAACTTATACTGGAGCCTTTAAACCTTAGATGTTGGTAACTTCTGATAATATACTTCACTGCCTGGCGTGGGTTTTAATTCCTCCAACATTATCCAGCATGATGAGTCGAATGGACTTCAACTCCAGTCGTCAACATAAGCTCTATGCACCCAGATGGGTGCATGGTTGCGGCAATGCTGAGAGATGATTTTGTGGAATAATACGGAAGCAAGAATTTGAATAAAGCCCATATACAGTTGCTACTCCAACGGTCGCTAGCGTAGCAGGCTTACCACTATCGTTTTGCTGACAAGTACATGTGGCAGTTAAGGTAGAATGGTGTCATGACACGACGACGCACAGAAACTTTTAACCACGCAGAAAGGAAGGACAGTCATTTCCAGATAGTCTCCATGCGGTGGGTAAACTCGCTCATTTGAAACTTTGGAGAAAAAATTGGTAGCGGCTTGCTTATTTCTATATCATTTCTCGATTGTTTTCAGCCTTAGCGCAATCTCTTTAATCATCAGCTTATGTCCGTACGGCAGAAACTTTAATCCAATACGCACCTAATTTTAACCGACATCGCATTGAGTAGTCAGCCGTAACCAGCCAATTGCATCTCAATGCCCATAAATCACCTGTGTACGCACGTAGCCTAGGGGTGCCGTGGAGGCGCTCAGAACACTGCAAACCTGTATGTGCCGTGTCCTGCAATGCAAGCGGTCTGATCGCGTTTTGCGAGCCTATGTGCGTATTGACATACGTAGATAGCTCAGGCAGGTAACACTGACGCACAGTTCAGCGGATATGAATATGGTACAATAGCGTAGCTAAGCCCAGATCTAACTGTGGTTACATGCACTCGGCTTGAGTTGAGGGTGCTGCTCGGTGGGGGTGAGAGCGGAGGCGTAGCAAAGGAGGCCGGGGAGGGGACGGTCCGTCTCAATTGGCAGGTGAATAGGGGCGGAGTTATTAGTACGGACGCTTTTTCAATATCGATTGTAAATGCATCGAAATTATCTCCATGATTGAAGTCACAAAAAGGAAGGGTGACCGAAGATGAAATTGGTATTACGAACGTTGATTTCCGGGAAACAGTAAGCGATATTGAAAGCATGGATGCAGTGGCAAATGTTCGTAATGCTGATACAGATGCGCACGAAGTTTCAGAATTGGCAGTGCAGCCACCACTTGGCATGGTAATACACACATCAATCTAGTTTATGGATGCCTATTATTGGCCTGTTCAGATTCAGCATGAACTTCTCACTATGCTTTCCGTCTCTGATTCAATGTCGTGAAACATGTTGATCATGAATTCAGTAAGTGGCACTACCTAGTACGAATACAAAGCTGAGGCTAAGAAGTTAACAACGAACTCGTTTTTCCAAGAGTTGCAAAAAAACAAGCAAAGCAAATCCGGTTAGTAGATGGAAGGCAATTGTAGCAAAGCCGTGGCGTGAAATTTTGGCTAGAATACTTGAGGTCATCAGGTTTTTCATCTAGCAAAAAGGGCAATTTTTGGTCTTCGAGACTCGTCCAAGATGACGAAGTAGGCCAGAACAAATAAGGGAATTTTTCTTTTGTCAACTATGGTCACTATGAGCTTGTTCTTTGTGAACATTTGGTGACAGTGCAGCTGGGAAGATTAATCAGCAGATTTTCTTCGTCACCACGCGTTCAAAACTAATTATTGAGCATTTGGATAAGGCAGCTAAGAAAGAAAATTTTAGTGCAGGTCAAGGAATGCAACTATGTTGGCGTGATTTTTGATAGCACTCCCACAAAAAGCAGATGAGGGGAAATTAAGTAACCGTAGTGGAGTCATTCCTCACCTTCATAAGGAAATAACAGTAAAAGAGCAAAGGAACTTCATGGATTGGAATTGGGTGAAGCGGAGAATCAAGAAATCCAGATTAATGACTATGAAAGTCAAGTATTAAATAGTGCTGTTGTAATGGCAGGCTGCTAATCAGGTGTTCACAGACCTCTGCGAAATCAATCCCAAGCTACATTTGTGTCATGTACCAACCATTCCCTGAATCTGGCTTGTGTTAATAAAGCTTTTGTGACGGTTCATTCTGATACATTTTTGACAGGATAGACGGGCTATTTGCATCCTCCTAAATGTTGCTGGAAATTTTTGTTTCAAGTTGTAGAGGACCGTTACCTAATAAGTCCGATTGCGGAGTCAAAACGCAACCTTAGGCCTTAGTAGAAGAATAATCGAGCACACTTGCATTGTAGTCTTTCCTTTGGTTAACGTTATTCCTATGATGACTAGCGATTCAAAGATATAAAACCCATTAGTGGCAAGGCGTGACAGCAGCACAAGCAGAGGCAGCAACAAAACGAAAGCAGCACGACGCGAGCGTGTTGCAATTGTTGTATTCAAAATTTGCGAATTTCAACTAATGGTACAAAATGATCGATAACGGAAATGATAAAAATAGAGAGCGTATAGTGTAATCACAACGACTACAGAACTCCCCTAAAGCTTGCCCTGGAAAGCAACGTTCTAGATAGCGTTCATGGAACGTATTATGCTAGTTTGGAGGGGAATGAAACAACACGATCTGAGCGTGTGTGGATAGGATCGCTTGTTTGGGGGGGGGGCACAGGGATACCTAGATTTAGGAGTCGGTCATGCGTTTGTCAGTGGTCAACGGCCCCTGCACAGGATGGTTGTGAGTGGTTGAGGTTTATTCTGAACTATCCAACGTTGACGAGAGATATGCGGGTTTAAGACCATCAATGCTCACAGACTCCTTGGATCTATTCTTATCTAGAACAAAGTATTTCGGTTTCCGCTATAAGGCGTTGAATGGACCTTCATAAGGCGGTGTCAAGGGTATTCGAACAGGAAATATTC